GATGTTGAATGTGATAGAGACGGCTGTCCAAACTCCCATTTGCCATGTAAGGAAGAACAAGAGCTAAAGTCAGGTAAACTGCATGCTGTCACAATCTGATCAGGTTTCTGTGTCTTATCCTTTTCAAAACTTGGCATTCCCGGGTTAAAACTCTTTCTGGAATTTCCAGATTGCAACTGTAACACCTTTACAGCAATGGCCATTCCATCTGGTAGAACTCCCTTGTAAACGCGTCCATAGCTACCTGTGCCAATTAGTCTCTGCTCATCAAATCCGTCGGTTGCCTCCGACAATTCTCTGTAAGTGATTCTTGGGAAATTCAATATCTCTGGCGTACTCGGTTTTTTTACAGCTTCGATTTTGTTAGATGAAATTACTAATTTAATATGACGGAATCCAATCACACAGCATATTGTTGTTAAAAATCCAGACACAAATATGACTATCACAAATATAATTAGAAACGTCCGGGAATGAAGCCAATGCCTCCTCAGAGAGCATATAGGTATTCCTGGTATAACCCCACAAAGGTGTGGATTGCCTAAGAATGACATGTTGGTGGTTAAGTTAAAGATGCCACCAGATGGAATCATACCTTCAAAGTTATTACTAGAAAGATTCAGAAATGTAAGACGGGGAGCTTTGTTGAGGCTTACAGGGATTATTCCAGACAGGTGGTTTTCTGAAGCATCAAAAGATTCTAGGCTCATTAGATCACCCAAAGAATCTGGAAGTTGACCTTGCAGAAAATTGTGTGCCAAATTTAGCAACCTCAATGCAGTGCAACTTGATATCTGAGGAAATATACTTCCGTTGAGGTGGTTGAATGAAACGTCAATCTCCTGAACATTTTCCAGCTTGCTGAACTCTATTGGAAAAGGCCCGTCCAGATGATTATGTGAGAGATTTAGAAATATTCTAATCTCACGTATCCCTGATAATTCTGGAGGTATGCTTCCTGTCAAATTGTTGTAGGACAAATCTAGCCTATAAAGATCTATGCAGTGTGCCATTGCTGGAGGTATTTTTCCTGAGAGTTGATTGTTGTTAAGAAACAAAGAACTGAGATGAACCAAGTTCCCTAGGCTTGCTGGGATTTCACCAGACAGTTCATTGTTTGATAAATCAAGAACACCCAGATGAGGAAGTTGACCTAATGTTGCGGGGATCACACTGTTAAACCAGTTGTATGATAAAGAGAGCTGTTGCAGATGTGACAGCTGACTGATCTCTTCCAAGATAGTTCCGCTTAGATGGTTATGTGATAGGTTCAGCTCCCTAAGAAATGAAACATTTCTTATCTCTGCAGGAATTGATCCAACAATGTTGTTTTCTGGAAGAAAAAGATGTGTTAGCTTAGGCTGACCAATGGAACTTGGCAGTCTTCCTCCAATACCCATCCCGGTTAATTCGATTTCCTCTAAAGCTGTGCAGTTTTTCAGGGAGGTAAAGAATGGGTTAAGATTGGTGTTACGATCATGGCTTGTCATTTTGTTATATGACAAATAAAGGTAGGTAAGGTTGACAAGCTTCTCTACAATTTGGGATGGCAACTCACCTGTTAGATAATTGTCCTGCACATCTAAATTATACAGTGAGGTATTATTCATCAAAGATGCAGGAAGTTTACCTGTAAATTGATTGCCGTACAAGTTGAGGTTCCATAGGTTTAGACAATTCCCAATTTCTTCTGGAATTTTGCCTTGGAGGAGATTGTTGGAGAGGTCAACATTTCTCAACAAGGTGCAGTTAGAGAAAAAGGATGGTGGAATTTCACTGGTCAAATAATTTTGATTCAATGTTACAACAGTAAGATTGGCAAGAGCAGAAAGGGTGTCTGGTATAGGACCTTCTAAATTGTTGGTGTCTAGCAAAAGATGGCGGAGGTGATATAAGTACGAAAGTTCAGGCGGGATTCTACCATAGAAGTGATTTTCAACTAGACTTAAAACTCGGAGGCCAGTGAGATTTGAAATGCAGGGTGAAAGTGGCCCGTAAAGCTCACTCTTTGACAAATTGAGCCGTGCAACACGATGATGGTTATTGTCACATGTGACACCTGTGAAGTTGCAAACGTTAACCGTGTCGACCCAATTAGCTAGCGTTAAGTTAGGATCAAATACTATGGTACGCTTGAATGCCAGAAGAGCTGCCTTGTCGGTTAGTAAAGAGTGGCGAGTGTGGTGGTGATGGCCAACACCTAATGTTAAAACCAAATGCTCCAGGAGAATAAAAATTCTTGTAAACCCCGAAATATTGATGCTTCTCATGGTTATGGCTCATGTTATGAGGGCTATAGGCCTCCTTGCTTTCTCCTAGCTCCTTCTTTCTACATTGCTGCTAGGCAATAAAAGAATATAGAAGTTGCAGGTGGAGAGAGTTAGTTTGTTGTGTGGCTAAAGGAGTCGCAAATGAGAGGTGGATTGAGTGAAAGTAGAAATTGATATTTCCGTAAGGAAATTCTGTACAGGGTATGATTTCCTTGATGACTAAATCCATTATGGAACAAAACTATATTTATACTGCAATAATTGTTGTTGTTGATTATTTCTTTGTTGTTTGTGTTCTTTTAAAATTGAAATTAAAAATTAAAATTTTTTAGGCTGTAGCATGATGATGAGGTCCTCAACTTAGGATGGATGGGAGCGGATTGAATATGCATTATGAGATATGCTTCCATGACATTGGTGGATTGTATTCCTTTTCTAGCAGCCTATGCATGCGTAGCTTAAAGTATTATATCTTGATGAATATTGAATACACCGCAGCATAACCCCACACACACACACACACACACACACGTGATGCACGGACATGTATCAAAAAGTCACTGTTTGGTCTCTCACAGTTTAATTCTTACAACTTTCAAATGTATTTAACAGGTCCTAATATATATTTTTTCTTCTTTCTTTTTTTTTTTTTGAGG